GTGGGGGTGTTAGACATTGATCTACCAATCTTTAGTCCCGAGCAAGCTCTCAAGCCAGTCCCTTTGCTTCGCAAAGCAAACTCAAGGTAGTCCTTACCAGGCTACCTTTCGTGATATACACAAGTAATCACAAGTATATACACACACCTATTTCAAGACTTTGTTTGTTTGGTCTAGGTGTTCAAGATATATCATCTAGATACCGCAGCTGGTACTGTGTCCGTTGCTTCGAGCTTACCCTGTTGGTTTGCAGCTATTTGCGAAAGACCTGCGTTGCCTTCTTGCATAACACCTCACAAGCCTGCAAGGCTACCTCTTCACAACACTCCCATGATTGAGAATCCCAAGAGGCAAAGAAGCTTTGCTATCAACAATATCAGTGCTTATCTATGCTTATCTATGCTTATCTGCAACCAAGCGCATCAAACTGTGATTCCAAAGAAGAAAACATGAAATATGTATTGACATGACCGATATCGAACGCCTTGGCACACCGCACTTCCACCCTTCCCGAGGCGCAAATCTCATCCCTCCGCTCCGCCCTTCGGCAGACGTCTCTTGACGCCCTTCGAGCGGTTCATAGTCATGCCGCAGTCGTGGTCTCGGCCGGATGCCACACGGTCGCTAAGGTCTCAACGGACCACGGACGGAACCCATCCAGTTCGGCTCTTCCCATCTCGTTAGCTTTGGATCTGAGACCCCTGTGGATTGCTTTATTTATATGGTGAAAAATCCTGTGCTTTGCTTTGAGTAAGGATCACGATTGGTGATTTGGTCATGGTGATAGCGACTTTGAATGCACTGAATGTGCTCATTCAATGCATGCACAGGCTTTGTGCGGACCTTCTTCCATGATCGTCCGTAGTGATTTCCCAGGGCTTCCCTTTTTCTTTCTTGTGGCATCCTTTCGTTCCTCAGCCTCTCTCTGCCAGCAAGCACTAGCCTTGATCGCCCAAATCATCGACACAACTCGATATACATCCAAATTCTTCTTGTTACTAGTAGTAAGGCACTTGTTACTACTAGCGAGGCACTTGTCAATACCAAACCTTTTCTGGAGCGCACTGCCCTTCTGCGGATTGAGGCGATCGATGTGTAGCGCTTTGCTTCGCAACCCTTATCTTCCAACAGCTTCGCATATCCATTTCTCTCACACTGGGGTGGGATTCTCTTTCAAAGACGGCTGGTAATCCCTGGTGCAAAAATTGCCATGATTCTTTCACAACGAAACGCCCAACACTGCCCCTCCCAGGAAGGATATCTCTGCAGAATGCATTGCAAGAAGTGGTCTTTTTGAGGGTGGATCATGGCCACTGCATATATAAGGGAAAGCTAATAGCAAGTGTCTAGCAAGATTCAAGTAATTCAGTCTTTTGGAAGACATTGTTTCAATTATGACAGCGCCATCTTCATGTGAACCTTCAAACATTCCCTGTGAAGGCCAGCGAGGGGGAACCGCATTGTGCTAGGTTTTGTTCCCACCCCAAATGGTCAGACTCCCAACTGACAACCCTCTCAGCGGCGGCTGCTGGCACTTCTGCTCCTGAACTAGAAAGCAATAGGCAAATCATGGCAAATCCATACTCATCAGCAACCTGGCAAGTGGAGCAAGCAACCACTCTATCCACACATCAATATGTCATCGGCAGAACATTCTAATTAATTACAAACAACAAACACTTTTGAGTCCACTCGATCTCCCCAGGGTTGCTTCCTACTTCCCAGCTACCGCACTCGCAGGTCTTTGACACAACCCCAGGCATCGTCCGATCCCCTTCTGACCCGGTTCCATGTATCTTGCTACAAGGCATTATTTTGCCCTGGACACATATCTATATAATAGATCATAATAGATCCTAATATCCATCCCATAATCCCTACAAATCTTGCTTGATGGATCCTGATGGAACAATTTTTGTCTATTCCCATTTCCGCCACCATCTCCTTCGTCGGCGGCTGTCGCTACGGCCGCGTGGGGGTGGGCTGCGGCTGCGGCGGCGTGGGGGCGGGCTGCGCCTGCCAGTGGAGGGTCGAAGCGGAACTCGTGTCCCCCGAAGTCGGGTGGGGGGATGGTCACAAGATGTACAGTACATTTACAGTACAGTTCCCAATAAAAATGCATCATTCATCAAACAGTTCCCAATCCTTTTGTGGAAAGCCTGCTGGACCCAGCTTTCTGGCGGACGCGGAACGCAATATCTTGAGGTCAGGA